TATATATATATATATATATTGTGCGTAGAATTGGTAGAGAAAGAAAGCAAACAAGAGTTTCAAGTTACTGATGTACCTTTCTTCTTGTTTGCAGAATGCGACTCAGTGTACGAGGATACGGACTGCCATGACGGATGCGTTTTAGCCAGTCCCGGATATCCTGGACTGTATCCACCAAACATCCGCTGCCGGTACCTGATCACTTCTGGCCCGCGAATCTCCATTGCCATCAACTTCACGGCGGTGCTTCTTCCGTACAAGTAAGTGCTCGACTGTCCGATATCAAACTTCCAAACCACACACAAGGAACGCTCCTACGACTAGTTATATAAATTTCCTATCTCCAACAATCCAGAAATATATCTTTTCGGTAATGCGTACGAAACATGCATTTTATTATTTATTTAATTTTATCAACGTTGCACTTAATTGCGGCTCATTATACAAAAACACTATACAAAAATGCCGTATACACATGTTTAATTACATACATGAGGAAATGAATACCGTACGAAAAAAAATAGATTGAGAGTATCCTTTAAGCAGGCACTCGAGAAAAACGATGATTTTCTTTCGTACGCGATACACGCGCGGTATAGTGCTCATTTTAAGATTTCTTTCGCGTATCTGCAGCGCATATCTGCTTTTTTCATGACTCTACGTTCTACGAAAAACTCGAGTTTCACGAGCCGGTGCTGTACACTAGGCTGTTGCACGACAAATTAAAAACCCCAAGCAAGCCGAGTGAAGAGCTGTCGCGTGGTTCTTTGACGGCTTATTTTCCCGCTGGTACTGAGACGCTTCGTAATAGCAACGATGTCAGAACGCGCGAAGAAAAAGTGGACACATGATACAATTTTCGGATAAATGAAAAGCATAAGAAAAGAAAGAGTGAAATGTATGGGTTGACCAATTCTAATCGAAACAATTTCAGCTTAATTTAAAAAACTACATATAGGCAGTAATTTAAAATTGGAAATATCTTCATTTCTATTAATTCATTTTGTTTTTATTTCATTCACTTTTATTTTTATTAAAAAATAGCTGTATTAAAATGTAAAGTATATCAATTAATTTTACACTGATTTTTAATTTATTATTATTAAAATTCTATTTGACTATCGCGGAATTGAAGAAGTTTATTTTCGAATTAATGTAGCATAAAAATGATATATAATATTTATATTAATAATAATAATATAAATAATGGATATCATTATAAATGAAATGAATTATTCTGTCTTCTGTACTCTTTGCATTATGTCGATTGTATATCTTTATGTTGATTTCAAAGTCTCGTCGAGTGTTTGTTCTTTCATTTACCATCATCACCGGTTCGGATTAGCGCGTTTCCGGGTAGAAATGAAAGAGCAACCGGAGAAAGAAAAGGGAAAAAAGAAAAATTTCCAACCCCCTGCTATCTTTAGCTTGGGTATTTTTAATAAAACCCGCTCTTAACGTAGCTCAGCTTGCATAACAAGCGCGGAACTCTCTTTACGCCACGTTAACCTTGCATGCATATAAATCATTTTCCACTTTACCGAAGAATTCTTATAGCTGTTTTCAAACAAATCACATACTTCCATTTTTCGTTTCTCAACAGAAATCAATTAATCTTGATTCAATAATTTTGCATTAAGAAGGTCACACTTTCTTAATTCTTCCTATGATTTCCTAATACATTTTCTAAAAACTTAAATAGTAAAAAATTTCGATTATTTTAAATTAAATACTGCCGAAAAAGAATTTTAAAGTTTTCCTAAAAATTTACTTCGTAAAGAAATAAGATTTATTCATAGCTTTTGGAAAAATATCAAAAAGTAAAACCTGCGAATTTAAAAAAAATTCTTTTTAAAAATATCTATCCAAAAGTCAAAGAGAACTTAATTAGGAATTAAATATGTATTACAATGACTACATTATCATATTATTACTATTATTTAGCAACTTTGTTCCTTAAATATCTCTCAACTAGATCTGAAATTCAAATACAACAATTACATGCAAACAAAATTATAGGAGACTTATTGACTATCTGCACTTAACACTTGATTATCGTTCTCTGAGATTCGCTTAAACGCCCAAGGAAATTTGCAGCGACAATTAACGCATATATGCATCTTAACAACACAGCGACAAGTAAGAGAAACTCGTTTCCGATGCGGTATTCAATTCTGTCGCGTACACGTGAGCACCTCATGCTAAATCCGGTCTGCAGAAACGTCGCGAGTCAATATGCATTCGCTTTGCACTTTGCCAAGGGTAAGAGCCCATTTGTGCGTGCTCGAACGAAGCTGCGTGTACGAAAAGGGTACGAGTGTGTCTCGATGCTTGATAATGCACCTCGCGTCTCGTTTCGTCGACTATGTCAACAACCGTCTCCCGCGTTCTTCCACCGCGTTTATCCCCGCCTGAATCATCCCTCTGAGCAATAAGAATACACCCACGTACGGAGAATACTGTCATTGTATGTCTCGAATTACTTACTCTACGATGTCAAACGGGATTCTGTTAAACGTGTCACGTTGTCTTTTGGATTCGCGCTTCGTCAGCCATTCGTCGAAGATAACAACTTTTGTTAAACTTTTGTTAAACTGTGATAGACTTTATATCTATATATTCTTAATCCAGAAGCAGTCATCTGATTTTTTTAACGATGGGATATTTTTACATCTCAATTATTATAAAATTACTATTATTAATAACATTAAATTATTAATAACTATTATTAATAACATTATTATTGATTGTTCTTCGATTTATTAGACATTCATTAGACCTATCTGAGATATCAATATGGATATGAATTTTAATCACAATTTTATGAAAAAAATACATAAAAATAAATATTGAACGGAATAAGCATGTATAAGATTTATAATAATAGTATTTTTGAAAAATAAAGCTTTTAATTAATACAACATTTTTTTATTATGGATTTTCAATGGAATTGCATATTTAAAGGCCGGTAAAGAATAGTTATTATAAAGAAAGAAATTATGTCAAATAGCTTCATAACAATTTATCTTTTTTTCTCGAGTTAAATCGATTCTTGAGTTAAAGAGTATTGTGTCTTATTAACTCATGATTTTTTTATTACAGAAGTTTATTATGAGATTAGATTAATAGATAGATATCAATTTATAATAAAAAATTACTTTGAACCAGACAAAGTATTTCTTGTAGACTTTTGGATGCTGAAAACAAATCAAATTTCACTAACATATTAGATTTCCAAAATAATTGAGATTTAATATGGCAGAAATGGCTTTTTTGCAATTTTATTAAAAAATTAACATTATCTTAAAATGCTGATTAAAAGTCATGAATGTATAGTTGATTTCTTATAATATGCATTCTTTTTATTTCAATATCTTTTTATTTTAGTATAATATGAAGATTTTAAGATAATAATTAGAAATTTATGATAAGCATTAATCATTTTTACAAAAAAAGTCAAATATCGCAAAAAAAAATAATTTTTAGTACATTAAACTTCCATTGTTTTGAAAATCTGATTAAAATTTGTGCTTATTGTTCACAGATTGAATTCTGTGTTAAAATTTTATTTGTGACATTATTTTCAGCATCCAAAAATGATCTTGAAAATGATCATGAAAATCTTGCATGTAATCTTGCAGTTATAGCGAAAATTATTTAAACACGAAAAATAACTAAAATAAATAAATTTCTAGCAAGTACAATTAAATACTTTATTTGCGATTAGGCACTTGCAATATTAATAAGCGGTTTCCGGCATAAATCAGTTGAGTTTGATTAGGGAAATTTTTGCTAGATATGAAAAGCGATAAAGGAAGAGGAAGAGAAAGAAGAAATAGCTATGACATGTTGATAGTAAAGTGAGCTGCGCACTGCAGCTGCATTTGCTTTTTCGCGGCAGCTGCAGTTGTTCCCCAAAGCTGGGTTGGCTTTTACGTTGGTGGCCGCTAGAAAGCCATTTCACACAGAGACCCGCAGTCGCGAGTACACCGAACATTTCCGTTCTCTAAAGACGGTCGTATTTCAGACCTCTTCCACTGGCATTCTCGCCCGCTTTATTTGCGAATGCTACGGCAGTAATATTGAAATAGATGGTCGGATAATCGTACAGAGGCATCTAGATTTTTTTTCTTGGATGCCAATTTCATTCTCAACGCCTGGATGCTTTTATGAGCGGAATATTCGAAGAAAAAAAATTTACGAAAAAAAAATTAATTTCTGTGAACATTGTACGTGTTCCTTATATAATATTTAATATATATTAAATATGTTTAATATAATATATTTAATATTATATATTATATTTTTTAAGATAATATTATGTAATATATAGATTTTACAAATTATTCATAAAATCTATGTGACAAAATCGATGTGCGAAGAAAAAAAGTATGTTTTGGAACAACGCCACAGGGAACTTGTTTTATCCTCTTCAAAACATTTTAATAGTGATCTGCATGTTCGTGTAATCACGCAGGAGAAAAACTTTGTTGAATTCCCGCAGAAAATATATCGCTTTTTGTGGCTGCTGCATTTGCTTTTGCGGTAATAATAAACCGTATTTTTCAACAAGCTGCGGTGTATCTATTTTGGAAAACAAACCAACGCAGAGTTCACGGACCACTTACTGCCAATTACGAATTCAGTACATCACATCATCTCTACCGGATAAAGCAGTTCGTGAGATACGATCTTACAGGCCGACGTAGAATTGACAACTGCAAAAAAAAGCTGCATTGCATTCAGATTACATTTTCTCGTTGATTTATTTGACTACTTCGTTCTACTTGCAACTTATTCAAGATATCGATCGTGTTTCTAAAATGGTTTCTGAATGGTGAACCGTTAAATCGAAGACAATTTGATTCGAGATTCATTTAAATTCTTAACTCTCTAGAGACAAAGGTTGCATATTTACAATGTTTACTTTAAAATTAATTTCGAAATAAATTCTGGATAAATTTGAGATTTATACAGATTAGTTATTCTTAAATACCAAAATTGCATTGAACATTGAAATATATTCTCCTAACTGCTAAAAAGATTAAATGTCGATATATGTATATCACTGTGGGTATCGATAGATTCTCTTCATTTACGAAATATTTTTAGAGCAAAATAATTTTAACAACAAGACATCACCTTTAGAAAATTAAGTATTCCAACCATTTATTCCGAAAAATATTTTGATCCTGTTTGGAAAACGATGTTATCAAATTTTCAACAATAACTTCGATATTCTCTTTATAATCTATCTTTT